TGTCTTAAATTTCTTTGATCCTTTGTATATCATCCAATCAGATTGCAGAAAATACAATGGCAATCCTATATCTATTTTTAAGGATCTACGTATAATTTTGGTGTTTCTTCTTTGCCTAATTTGTTTATGTAGGGCAATCTTCTTTACTATTTACATTTATGCAGTGTATCTTATTACTATTTCTCGTATTTTGTATCGCATTCGTGCATAAGATCGGCAACCAAAATTTCTTTTAATCTATAAAAGGAATGATTTTCATCTGCCATTTTTTTATAGTATAATACGAATGCGATTCGATTCTTATGTTAGACGCTCGTTGAAAAAAAAAATTAGAACCATTTGAAATTACTTACTAAATGCTAGTAAAAATGCGCCCTTTTTGTGCTTGTATGCTGCCCCGATCTATGCTTGCTTTGCTTTTTGAGCTTTTTTAGTACTTTGGGTTTTTTTCTTCGGATTTTTTGCCGGTATGATGAAAAGATAGATCTGCAACGAAATAATTTGTTGATCATCAGATATTTTACTTTTATTATTTGCCGTTTCGAACTCAGCCACTTGGCCTACTTGCACGTTCATAGGATTACTTTTATATGATTGGTTGTTTAAGTCAAATTTTAATTTTACAGTTTAAATTACTTTTAAAAAAATAATAAAGCTACGAAGAATAAATAAAAAAAAGTACATGGGGGCATTATTAGGGTTGTAGGACACCACTATTGAAATGATCAAAGTTTTTATTATAACAACTTCTTAAAAACGGATCGAGCTAGATTTTTACCATGCTAACTTCTTTAAAACGAAAAGGGACTTTGATTATTTTCAATAGTGGAGTCCTACAACACTAATAATACCTCCTGTGCACTTTTTTTCATTTATCCTTTGTAGTTTTATTTTTTTTAAAATACTTTAAACTGTATAAATAATGTAAAATTAAATTGACTTAAACAACCGATCATATAAAAGTCATCCTATAATCGACATAGTAGAAATGCTTTATCGCGTTCGAAAAATGTGCGCTATATTAATTTAACATAATGAGTAGGAATTAGCTCCAATGAAATACGGGAAATACTTTTTTAAATGCTTCATTTCTAATTTGTGCGCATTTTTTTCATTTAAATAAATATAGCGATAATAAAATTTAAAACACTGCCAAGTGATGCAAAATATAATAAATGCAAACCTGTGCTTAAAATGAGGATGAAAGTTATTGCGTTAGTTATTTTCAACATTTGCCTTATGTATTTGTGCTCTATTTTATTGAAATGAGAAAATCTTAATGCTGCTTCGCTTAATTTTCCAATTATTAGTGAGCTAAAACTAGATAGCAAAGTGAGAGTTCTAGTATCTATGTTTAATTGCATCAGTATTATAGTGAATCTTAATTAAACTTCAAGTTTGCTTCGCTCGGCCAGAACATAAAAAATGTAAAAAACAGAAATACTGCTTTAAGAAGTAGTTTTTGATTTCAACTAATCATGTAATCAATGCCATGTTGATATCTTATTCTACTATATCTAATCATTGGTTGGCACAGCGAAGCCGCCACATGATCATGCACTAGTAAATATATAATAAAATTTGAGCCGTAATTGCTTTTAAACTAGCAAATAAACGTATTTGTCGAGTTTGTTTTAACATTCTCTTTAAAGTAAATAACACTCATTTTTGTTACAAATTATTTGATATTTTTACTAAAAATACTGATGTGATACAGAGACAGATAGAAATTACAACATTGCATTTTTGATGTTTTTGTTAAAAAATACATCAAAACCGAGCATTTTGCATATAAATTGAAAGTCCTGCACTACATTCCAAACAATAAAAATGAAGAAAAAAGCGTTATTGCTTTAAAGAGTATGTTAATGAACCCGACAAATGTATTTTTATTTCTGCGATTTTATTGGTTTAAAAGTTATTGTAGTTTAAATTTCATATGATTCAACAAAAAGATTCTAATATTAGAATTTTTTTTGTGAGTGCTGCAGAGCGAAAAACTAGAGGTGAATATTTAAGTTTTCATCATAACGAATTTAACCCCGATATTACGTATTAACATGAAATCGAAAAGCATAGGTACGAATGATCATGTGATTGGACTAATGCCGGCAAGCCAAAGGTGCCGGAAATAAATTCAATTAAAGGACTTTAAGTCCGCAGAATACATTGTGAGAAATTGAGCTGCGTAATTTGAGCTGAGTGAGTAATTTGAACTGAAACTATGATATGCTCCCGGGAAAATTGGTAAGTGAGATTGCGCCGGGTATCATCGTAACAGTAGAATGAGTGAGAAGCAGCATCAGCCGGTGGTTTCCCGCATGCTCGAAGCAGGCCGGCTGTTAAATAGGAAAATGGCAGAATCAGGAGACTACAATGTGTGATGGGAAGGGTTGGGTCGAGAAAAAAGAGACGGTTGTTATGCTTGGTTTGTTGAAAGAGGAACGAGTGTCGCAAATCAGTTATTTGTCGATTCTTTAAATACTGATTGTAGTCGGTGGCTTTCGGTTACGTCACTTTATTCGCATGAAATTTCTGAAGTCTGATGTCTCTTTCGATCCCCGACCCATGTTATCAGGCAGGGTTGTAGCACACGGCGTGTAACCCTGACCATTCTCCACTGTCTTTTCGATCAGTTGACTCCTGTCAACATACATTAAATGAGCTTTACTACGTAATATCAGAATTCAACAAGGCTAAACTCACCATGGTGAAAACATTCACTTCCAGTTTTTCGTTCTGCAGCACTCATCTGATCCGCATTATGTTTGTGATTATCTTGTGCCTCAGACTAACGCTTGCCTCAGATCACAGCCGACGTACCTCAGATGCAGATCGTCAGGTGAGGAGCGTAGCCTATCGATTATCATCTAAGCTGCAATCTAACGAAAATAAGAGTAAATAAATTGAATAAAAGATCTTTTACTTGAATTCTTTTTATTCTTGGGATTTCTTCAGCGTTGTTTTCGCTGGTAGTATCTTTCTTAACTCCAGTTGCATTCTATATTTTTGAATCACTTTGGCGTCGTCTTACCTCCAATAGCATTCTTGAATCACTGGTATTTTACCACCAACAGTAGCATTTTTTTACATTAAGTCTCTTTATTACCTCCATTCTTTTCTCTGAATTTCTTTGTCTGAAATTTCACGGCACATTCTATTTCCAATTAATACGTACTTTTCTCTCTCTATACATATAGTTTTTTTTTGCCTAAATTTTCGCGGCATATTCTTCCCATCTAGGTTTTTCAGCACGTTCAATTCTCAATAATTTCTATATATAATTTTTTTTTTAGTGCTTATTGACCGATCGATAGGTTACGCACCTCACCTGGCAATCTGCATCTGAGGTGTGTCAGCTGTGATCTGAGGCAAGCGTTAGTCTGAGGCACAACAATTATACCAATACTATATACCCAGTATAATATCTATTACTATTATATTTTTTTATAATTTTATTATTGATAAATAAATTATCTTGAACAAAAGCCCCATACTTCATTGTATAACAATTTGCTTTAATCAATATATGCATTAAATCAAGTGACAATTCAAGCAGGCGGGTGACGAAGTCACCCGCAATATGTAAAGTTGTTAGTTTCAGTAATAATTAATCCATCAAATGGGCCCACTCAATCATACATTCATAATCGTAAGTTCTAAGGTAGAACTCTTTTGATTATCAATATCGTTATTTTCACTTGTCCATTTTCGGATTTCTATATCAGGATCATATGTCTGACACCACACTTTACGAGTCATATACTTATTACTATGTGCATATTTTCATGATCTGGACTTCGGTCATAAGCAGCATCAAGATGCTTATAATCATTATATCATTCAGTATAACTAACATAAGATTAGTGAATAAATCTTCATGAACATGAATTGTTTGTTATTCCTGCTTGGATTCCTATATAATACATGATTGTTTTTTTTTTTTTGCACTATTTCTTTGTTATCATTTGTCCTTTATTTTCCATTTGTGTTTCTTTGTACTGGAGCACAAGTTATGCTAAAAAACACGAACATATGGGCAGATTTTGGAAATTCGAATATGTCACATGAATTTGAATGTGATCATGATATCTAAAAATAGACGATAATAATAAATTAAATTTATCGATTATCGATATCGATATTTCAATGGCTTGCACTAGTAAATGTCAACTTTGTAAAGAAATTTTTTTTTTGCGTAAAAAGCTTGTGGCTCATGAAAGAATTAAGCATCGGAATAACAAAATTATACCTCATCATTATTTACTTACCCAACCTTCTCTTGATCAAATCATATTTTATCAGAACACGTTTATAGTTCTTATTAAAAAGCATCTTAGTTTTAACAGACATTCAATAGGCACAAAACAAGTTTCTATTAATACTTTTCCAGAAAATATATTTGTTTACCTTTTGAGAATGAGCCTTCTTTCCATTATAGTTCTGTGCAACAAAAATATTCTTGTTCTTTTCAGGGTGAAGCTGGCGAACAGAGATTGAAACAATTGGTCAATTATGACTATTAGAATGTTCGACAAGACCCAAAATTAATGACTAAGGGTTACATTTTGTTTATGGATAATGAGAGTTCCTACGAAGTTACCTTTAGTTGGACACAATCAGAGTTAAAAAAGAATGATCGTGTTTTTCAATGTGGGACTGCTACTTGTAAATTTGTAGCAGACTCTGGAGAATTTTCTGAACAGTAAGAATTGAAATTAAAAAATATCTTGGGACT